GAGCCCCGGGCTGCCCCCTGCCAGCACCGGCACCGCCAGCAGCGGACGAGGAGCAGGAATTCTATATATGACCGAAACCAAACGTGCCTGACGGACTCGTGCTTGGCAAAGGACAGCGGAGCGCTTTGGGATGTGCTGTGACTGTTGCTGCTCTGTCCTGTGACATCCCACTAGGGGTCACTGAGGCAGACACTGAATTTCCATGAGAGATGCTAAGGAGGCTGCAGGGAAAAAATAACACTGTATTTACAGAAAGCTGATGTTTTGGTTTGGTTTTTAATGCACAATAGGTGAAGGGTATGTTGTGTAATGAATAGGAATAAGCCATGTGACCCCTACAGCTGTTCTAAGATGCTGAAAATTAGACAGTGATGTCTTCAGATGGGTTTTGAAGGTGCAGCTTGGCTGAGCTGCCCAAGCAGCTGGATGCCCCCAGCTGTGGGGACTCACCATCCCTTGCTAGGACAAACTGGAACAAGCTCGTGGCGCAGTCACAGTGGTCATGCTGGTTTTCCTTTGTTGGTATTTAAAATCTATCAGTGTTGTCAGTTTTATGCAAGATTTGAAACATAAGAATATTCTTTGAAATATTTCTATTGAGAAATAGAAAGCTTTTTCCCAGCTCAGCACAGTACATGCAAAAACCACACACTTGAAGACAAGTGCCAGTAAAACCTGCTGCTGCCTATTCATTTGATACTTAAAATAAACACAGCAACAGGCCAGGCTTTGTTAAACCAGTGTGCAATTAGCAGGCAATCCTAGCTGGTTTTTAATTAACAGAAGACAAGAGAAGTTGAGAGTCTTGGAGGGAATTGCTAAATCCTCAAGAGTAAAAAGGACAGGAGAAATGAAGTCATGATTCAGCATCAACAGATGCTGAAATAACTCCCATCTTGATCAGTTTGCTTTCCCAAGTAGGATTAAATAAATCTCAGTGGGAAAGAGATGGGAGGAATATGAAGGAGGAGTGAAATTATTCAAAGAAGAGCCCCACCTGGGGATACTTACCTCCAAACAGTACCACAAAGAGGTATTTTCTCCCTTAAGTATATCTGAATTCTGGAGGGGATATAGGAAGTTCCTGCTCTGGGCCCTTCCGGCTGGTTCTGCCCTGCCAAGTAATTCTCATGAACCCTTCAATTTGGGGACCAAAACCTACAGAACAGGACATTTCATTCACTGGACACTTACAAACACCCCCCAGGTTTTCACAATTATGGATGGGATAATCATGAACTGGGAATCAAGGCAGAAGTGGGATTCCTGGGAGAAACAGCTTTAAAGAGAGATTTCATGGCCTTCTCTCTACTCCCTAGTGCCCAAGGTACTTGACTGTGACTATTTAGCATAATCTTATTTTACCTAAAAGAAAGAGGCATAAGGTCAGTATCTAGCCTGGGGAAAATGCTTCATCATTTGGAAAAGAAATGGGACAAGTTTCACCTTGCCTGTAACAGATCATGGAAAAGGGCCTGGCGTCAAAGGAAAATGGCTCCGAAAATACTGCTTTTAACAGTAGCATGTAAAATCTGTGTATTTTAAGCACAGGATGTATCCAGTACAAATTCTGTGTTACACAGACAGGTGTGCAGGGTGAGTTGGGTCAGAGGGCACATTTCTCCATGGACAGACTCAGTAGTGAAAGGCAAAGATTCCCATTTTCCAGAGTGTTCATATCTCTGCAGCCTCTATTTTATACTTCCTTGCACACTGTTCCATTTCTTACAGGATTTTAAAAAAGTCTAATAAGGAGCACGGCTTGGCAGGGTTGCTGGAGATCTGTGTCCCAAGCACCCTGAGAGGAGCTTCCTGATAAGGAGCCAGAGAGAGAGGAGGCATGGGGTGTGTGGGGCTGGCAAGCGAGCTCAGCCAGGGCTGCCCATCCCCTGTGCTGTCCCAGCAAAGCACACTGGGGAAAACAGCCTTGGTGGGAAACTGAGGAGGGAGTTCGACAAGTTATGCTGAGAGGAACATGGCATCACAATGTAGGGGGATTGAAAATAAGTAAATAAAGGTGGTATAGAATGTAATCTTACCCCCTAAAGAGTTGCAGCTGAGCCAATTATTAAGGATTAGGAGCGGGCCTGATGTTAACAGGCTGCAGCTGTAGCCAATAAAGAAGAATGTTATAAAAGAGTGGATTGGTCGGTTGTGGGGAGCTGGAGTCAGTGCCTTGAGGAGTTGCCTGCAGAAAACATCAAGGAGGTATGAAACTCTAGCAATGTGTAACCTTTGCAATACAATGCCAATAGAACTCTTGTGGTATAATGACAACATCACAACACTGGATGAAGGGAAATGCAGTGGGTTTTTTACCTTTGGTGTGTTGAGCTCGGTATAAGGGACTCGGGTGGGAATGGCTGTGACCATTGGGGTCATGGTGCTGTGGGTGCTGAGCTGCTGATTCCTTTGATGGACAGTGAGGTGGGCGGCATTGATTAACACCCTGTAACCGAGATTCTGATTTTGAGCTGTGTGCTTTTTGGGGGACAGTGGGATCCTGCTTTGTTCCAGGCAATGCCATACCAGGAGTGGGACATAGGGACTCCTGTGAGCCACGGGGTGACCCCAGAGGGGGCACAGATGCTGCCATGTACCCACAGGGATGGTGATGAACAGGCCCATCCGAACTGAAACGCTTTTCTCCTGGGTCCCTGGCACAGTCTGGGTGATGGAGGGAGGAAACCTGTCCTACAGGAGCAGGGTATGTGCTGAGAGAGTGAGCTGTGACACTGGGCTCACAAGATGCAGGAGAACTTGCTCTGGGTCACTTTAATACAACCTGAAGGGATGAGTGCTGTTGCTTTTTATTTGTTTAGCCCCTGGAAGCAGCAGTTGTGTCTTTTGTCTCCTCTGAGGCAAGCACAGTGGCGTTTCTGAGGGATGAGGTGCCCGGGAGCAGCGGGAGCACTCCCTGGTGCCTGGATACAAACACCAAGGCAGGGAGGCTCCCTTGCTCCGCACTCCTGGCATGGTGTGGGCAGGAGCCAGGAAACCCCTGCCGCGGTCAGTGAGGGCACAGGCTCGGCCTCTTGGGCTGAAAAGAGCCTGGCAGCCTTGATTCTTTGGGGAAGCACATGCTCAAAGCCCTTTTCCCTGAATTCTGGGCCAAATTCAGCTTTCATGAATGCCTCGGTAAATCCTCGGGCAGCTCTGTGAGCACAGCCGAGCTCCCAGATTGACACTGTGGGGCTGGGCTGGGCCTTCCCTTCTCTGTACCCGTGTTGGTGCCTTCCCTTCTCTCCACCGGTGTTGGTGCCTTCCCTTCTCCTCTCTGCACCCAGTACAAGCAAAGCCTCGCAGCTGCTTGGTGGGGAGAACAGATGTTTCAGAAATCTCATGTTTGTGACAGGAACACAAACCAGAAATTGTCTCTTTTGCTGAAGGAGAGTGTGGCAGCTCCAGCCCCTGCCCGGGCTGTGTGTAATCGGTGCCCACCTGTGTCACCTGTGCAGGGCTGGGGCAGTGATGGCCATCTCCTCTATTGTCACCTCTTGTTTTTTGCAGATTTCCAGACTATTGCTGTTATTCTTACTTTGTGTTATTGCTGTTATTACAGTTATGTCTGTCGGGTTTCTGCTGTCCCGAGTGTGGCGGGGTCGGTCGGGCTGTCCCTGTCACTGCAGCTCCGCCTGCTGCCCGCACACGGCATCCTTCCCCCGCCTGTGTCCCTTACTCGGGATGAGATCATTCATCATTCTTTAGCTGCTTAAAATCTACCGGAGAATTGCTCTTGGAAAGAGACAGCGAGCATAAAAGATTGTGCTAAAATTTCTGTGACAAAACATGAGGTTAAACAAAACTCATTTTTTGTCTCTCATACAACAAGTACTAATGGCACAAACAGAAGATGCCATTATAGTACTGATCCTATTCTTGATAAACAATGCACTATTTTTTTCATACTTCCATCTATATATGCTTCAACATAATTTGTTTAAGCAAACATTCAAAAGGGACAAGCAGTAGCTTTTAGCTCCTATCAGTTTTTGTTATTTTTCAGAATTTTTTGGCATAAGTCACAGTTTTTAGTCTTTTCATTGGATTATTTTACAGGCTGGCATAATCAGAATAATTCAGCCTTTTTTACTCTATAACAATTAACTACTAAAACTCAGTTAATCTTTTTATTTGAAAAAGGTTTGGTCATCATTCATCACCCACACACGTGGATACAATTTGATTAATCACATTAAAGATCAGAATATTTGGTCATCAGAGAAGATGTTATTTAAAGGACCAGAATAGGAACATTAAGTGTCAGAAAGGCATTTTCTGCACTGCTATCTGCAGCAGCAGGTCTCTGAGCCCAGCTGTGCTCCAGCATTTTAATCCTCACTTTCATTAACACAAAATTAACCTGATAGATTAGGAAGCAATAGAAGCACTAATAACAAAGAAAGCCCATGTCTCTCTCATTCATTAATTTTCTCTGATGGCAGAGTAGTCAATTAGGAAGATCTGTCATGTAAGTTACAAGGGGAATAGAGTTCTTCTTAATGTGTTTTATTGTTTTTTGGCAGCCTCAGCCAGTGATGCTGTGCAATGTCAGGTGCAGTGGTTACTGTGCATCTGCTGTGTGTGAGAATAGTTGATATAGTACTGACAAGCTTGCTACAAAGATGTTTTACTAAAAA